CTGTAAATCTTTACGGGAGCAGAAAGCCTCATCTTTCTCCCGCGGAACAGCTGGTAGTTTCGAACTGCTGACCTTGCGGTTCGCAGCCCAATTCGTAACCACTACGCTAGTCTTACTTATTTATGATCCAATTTTCACATGCATATGAGCCTACTGGAAATACCATGGTTTGTGTCAGGCGCACCCTAGTCTTAAAACTGACATCTTTGCTTTTCAACACTTTAAAGAGGTCTTGTGCAGCAGATTTGCCCAGTGCAATACGTCATTTGATTTCTTGACTGATGCTTCCATGAGTGCTGATGGTTGATCCGAATAAAATGGTTATTGACAACTTCTGTCTTTTCTCCATTTGTATGGATAGTATTTATTGGTCCAGTAGTAAGGATATTTGTTTTCTTTACCTTGAGGTTATAGACAAAAGCAATAAAAAGACATTTAAATCCCTTAAGGTTTTAAGAAAACAGTGGGCCACAGGTTCTATATGATCACTGATAAGTTAGTTATTCTCATTGGGTCTCAGAAATGTTTCTTGATGATGCAGTGGTTTAAGTGTTGGGCTGTTAACCACAAGATTGGCTGTTTCAACCTAGTAGCCACTCCACATGAGAAAGGTGGCTGTCTGTGCTCTTAAAGGTTTACAGTCCTTGAAACCTCAGGGAAAAGTTCTATTCTGTCCTATAGAATTGCTATGAGTCAGAATGAATTCCAGGGCAAATAATAATTGTTTATTGAACACTTTCCACTTATTCAATTCATAATAGATTGAAATAGTACATCTAAAGAACCTGATGTCTTAAGAAAAGAAAAATGGAAAGAACTGTGACCCCAGTAGGTACAACCTCTGGAATGTGCCTATTTATTGAACACTCCAGATGGTATTCTAAGAGCTATAAACATACCAATGTATTCGATTCTCACCGTTCCCTATGAGGGAAGTTCTACTATTATTATTTCCACTCAACACATGATAGACGTGAGGAACAGAAGATTATACATCTTGCCCAAGGTCAAACATGAAGAAAGTGATAGATCCAGGAACTGAACCAAGCTGCTCTTTTAAAGGGTCCATGTTCTTCTGTTCACTGGTAAATCTGCTTCTGAGATGGGTTATGCTCAGATTCACCCAAGAGTAATCCACTGTGTAGTAGCATCTATATTATTAAATAGTCTGCAATCACAAAAAAATCACGTTTTCATAAGTATTAAATTGTATGGTTATTGAATTTCTAGGTATTTTGTTGTGTATATTTTCACTACAATAAAAATTTTATTTCAAAAATTATATGGAGACAATACTTACATTGTAATGTTGAGGAAAAACCACTATGCAAAAGTATAAATTATACATATTATTTTAGTTCTAAAATATTTTTTCCACCAACATCTAAATCTAAAGGCTAATTTTCTCCAAAGGATCAGTTATCTACAATGTTGTTTGCTCCTTTACATTTTTCTTGAAAGTCTGACCTTTTCTTAATGATTCAGAATTGTCATAATCAAAACAAAAATAGATTTTTAAAAGAATTTTTTTTAAGTGCTGTTGAGTCGGTTCTGGCTCCTAGCAACCCTGTATAAGGTTTCCAAGGTTGTACATCTTTGTGGGATCAGAAGACCTCATCTTTCTCCCGCAGAGCCACTGATGGACTCAAACCAGTGACTTTGCAGTTTGCAGTCCAGTGCTTGTCATGTAGAACCACTGTGCTCCCCAAAAATTTTTTTTGAGTACTAAGAAAACAATGCCAAAATTAAAAAAAAAAAAAAAAAAAGATTTAGTTTCCTTTAACAGTCAAAGCTCTTTAGAATAAAAGCACTGTACTGAGAACCACAAGGTTGGTGGTTCCAACCTACCAACCTCTCCTCTGAAACCCTATAAAGGGTCACTGTGAGCCAGAACTGGCTCGATGGTACTTAACAACAACAGTTAAATAATGAATCATGAAGAGAAAATGGGAAAGATTTGCAAGAAAAACCATTATCCAAGAATTGGGAACTGAGGAAGGAAGTTCAGACTAGAAAGGGAAGTATCTGTAAGTATGTAACATACTACCTGTGCACGGTTGACTCAGCACACTGAATGCTACTTTTGATTTTCATCCACTGTGTATGGTCTGTTTAGGAGCGCCAATAGCATGGTGGATTACAAACTGAACTGCTAACCACAAGGTCCACAGTTAGAATCTACCAGTCACTCCACAGGAGAAAGAGAAGGCTTTCTGCTCTCGTAAAGATTTATAGCCTCGGAAATCCTATACAGGGTTGATATGAGTCAGAACCAATTCAGTGACACACAACCACCACCACCATATGGTTTGTTAGGATTCAATTTCATGATAGGCTGAAATAGTACAAATGGAAAGCCTGATGTCTTGAGAAGAGGAAAGAAGAAAGAACTGTGAACCCAGACTGTAGAGTTTTAATGGTGTCTGTTAAAAAGCAGTGAAAAGAGCCTTTTTTGAATGGAATCACTCTGAAAGTGATCGATCACAATAGGAGGTCCTTGATAGAGTGGGAAAACAGTGTAAAACAAAACTTAAAATCATAAAAAAATAAAAATAAAGACCAGGCTCCCCAATATTACTGGTATAATATTGACTGATGGAACTCCTAAGACAATGGCCCTTAGACACCCTTCAAGCCTGGAAGTGAATTTACCCCCATGGCTCAACAGCAGACAGCCCATAAAGTGAACAATAACCCCAGGGAGGTACACACCCCTTAGGACAATCAACCACAATCAAAGGGCGGCATTTGTCCAGGAAGAAAGCTCAGGAGGTAGGAAGGGATAAGAAAGAAGGGCGAATGGAAACAGTAAACAGAGGGAGTGTTGTTACATAGTGAGAAACTGTGTATGAATTGTTACTTAGAAAATCAATTTACTCTGTAAACTTCCACCCAAATCACAACTGAACCTTTAAAAACAACAACAACAACAACAACAACAACAACCCCTTCTTTGCATCAATAGTTCAAAAAGACGTGCTGCCTGTCCTGGTCAGGGCCTATCAGCAACACCAGATGCATCTGACATTGGCCCACCTTGAGGGAGAATCCACCCAGCCCTGCCCATACCAGTCATATCTTGCACAATGGAAGCCTGTTGCTCAAGATAATGTAGCCTGGGCCAGAACACACTTCGGGGCGTGCTTTTTCCTCTCCTGTTGGGAAAGTGAAGGCTGAACTGCTGAGCCTGACCTGCAACAGTGTTTGGAATTCCCCTGAACGCAGATCAAATCAAGTATAGTTTTTTAAGCTTAGAAATGACCTTGAGCTCACTTTAAAAAGCCTTATTTGGTATACTTGTCTGGATGATTTGCAGAGATTTCAGATTTGCAAATATTTCAAGGGTTGATTTCTTCCTTCGGAAAAGCTGCTAGCTGTTGGTGGTTCATAGAAGTCTTGACACAAATCTGAGCAAAGGTTTATGCCGAGGCTCACTCAAATGGCACCGACAAGGAGCACTCTGCGAACTTACTTCAGGATGAGACTGCAAGGACCAAGGAGAAGTACTTTTAATGCAAGCAAATACTCTTCATTGACCAGCATATGCAAAAGGAGTCTTCTCTTTACTACTGCGGCTCCTGCAAGAAAAATCTGCCTGCTCCTGTTGCTCTCCAATCTGCAGAAACCCACCTGGAGTTCTCAGGTAGGCAGCAAACCGGGAGCTGATCTCTTTTAGGAGCAACCCTTCTAGATGGCCCCAACCTTATGCACTTGGGATGCAATTTCATTCTGACATTTTTAACAAATAGTGCTGGAGAAGGGTGTTGAAAACAATGATTTAAAATTGTGGAAGTCTTTATAGTTTGTAAATTTAGCATGATAAAAGCTAGCAACGTGGTTATTTCTTGATTCTCTGAAAAATTAAGTTGAGCACTGTTTCCAAGAGACAAATAACCCAAATTAAACCAAATCTATTTAAATGGCTTTGGAGTACCAGAGTGGTGTAAACAGTTAAAGTGCTCAGCTGCTAACCAAAAAGCCAGAGGTTCAAGTTCACCCAGTGCCTCAGGAGAAAGACCTACAGAGATACCCTGATACACATGGGGTCTTCTTGAGTTAGAGTCAACTCCACAACAAATGGTATATGTATTTGACTGTTGACTTTATTGATAGATTAACTCAAGTACAAGGAGTATTATCTAAAATTCTATATAATGAAAAATAACCTAATATGCAGAAAGGACAGAGCAAATATTTAAAATCTAGTAATATACTAACACAGGATTGCAGTAGATCTGTAGGATAAATACTGGACTACAAACCGCATGGTCAGCAGTTCAAGCCTGCCAGGTACTCTGCAGGAGAAAGATGAAGCTTTCTGCTTCTGCAAAGATTTCAGCCTCAGAAACCCTATACTGAGTCGCTATGAGTCAGAACCAACTCAATAGCATTTACCAACAATAACAATATACTAACAGGGTCAGAATCAATGGCAGTGGGTGTCAGTGGGTGTCAGTGGTAATACGTATGTACTGACAGAGTGTTGGCGTTCATCATGTTAAGAGTTGACAGAACATGATCTCATTGGTTTTGTTTATTTTGTTTTGGCTTTAATAGGTTATGTAGACCTATTTTAAGTCCTGATGTAAAGAGTTATTGGCTAAAATCATTTAAACAGTCTTTTATCATATATTGTTATATTTGTCGTTGTTGTTAAGGGCCAGCAAGTCAATTCCGACTCATAGCAACCCTGTACAGGGTTTCCAAGGAGCAACTGGTGTGGTTGAACGACTGACCTTGTGTCTCACAGTCCAATGCTGATCTACAGTACCATACTAGGAGTCCATATGTTTGCTGTTGTTTTTGTTAAGTGCTGTCAGGAGGGTTCTGACTCATAGCAACCCTGTATAAGGTTTCCAAGGAGAAGCTGGTGAGTTTGAGCCATCAACCTTGTGGTTCAAATCAACTTTGCGTTCCAGTACTTTATCCCACAGTGCCACAACAGGATGCTGTGGGATGTTATTTAATTTATTGTATATCCAATAGAAAGTGGTTAGTGTTGTTATTGTTGTTAAGTGCCATGAGTTGAGTTGATTCCGACTCATAGTGACCCATCATAAGGTTTCCAAGAAGTGACTGGTAGGTTTGAACCACTGAACTTTTGGTCCTGCACTTATCCTACAGTGCCACAGAGAGCTAGCTCCATAAAAACAGAACCTTGTGCTTCCTTAGTCACCTGCACACCCTTAGCCCCTAAACCATAACTTCTTGTAAGTTATTAAGTGCCATCGAGTCGGTTCCGACTCATAGCAACCTAGTATAGGGTTTCCAAGGAGTGGCTGATGAGTTTGAACCACCAACCCTGCAGTTCTGCACTTATCCTACAGCACCACGCCAGGACTCCAAAACAATTAATTTAAAAGCATGACTAATTGCCACCAAATTGATTCCAACTCACGGCAACCCCGTGTATGAGAGTAGAACTGTGCTCTGTTGGGTTTTCAACAGCTGTGATCTTTTGTAAATAGATTGCCAGGTCTTTCTTCTATGGTACCTCTAAATGGATAAAAAACTACCAACCTTTTGGTGAGTAGCTGAGCTCATAACTTACTTGTGAACCACTCAAGGAATCCTACCAAAAATATGTTTTGTAGCGGTTGTTAAGTGCTGTCGAGTTGGTTCTAACACATAGCAACCCTGTATAGGGTTTCCAAGGAACGGCTGGGGAGCTTGAAGCACTGACCTTGCGGTTCTAACCAACTTTTCAGTCCAGCACATTAACCAACAGCACCACATCAGGACTCCACCTAAAATATGTTGTTGTTGTTAAGTGCTGTCGAGTTGGTTCCAACCTATAGCAACCCTGTATAGGGTTTCCAAGGAGCAGCTAGTACTTAAACCACCAACTTTGTGGTTCACACCAACTTTGCAGTCCACCAGGACTCCTAAAATACAGAAGGTGCTTAATTTACTGAATAAATGATTACAATACTCTTTGCAATAATGATTATCATAATGACATTCTACTCTTGGTTTTTCTTAACTAACCACATTCACAGAGGGAAAATCCCAGTAGTAGAGTAAGGAACACAGATGTGTAAGCATAAAAAGCTGTTACAGATTACACATAATTAATGACTTATTGTAAATAACATAGAAGAAATACCATGGCATGTTTTTTTTGAGTTCCTCTTCCAGCATCCTTGACATTGACTAATGGTTAGCTCTCTCTCTTTATCTACACTCTACTGGTTTAGAAGCACCATTTCTCTGCCAAGAGAAAAACATTTTGGGTATTTGGTTCTAAATGATAAACTGATAATGTTTAGTGAACGTCTATTCAAATTTCTAACTTCAAATTACTATGGGGTGGTGCTGTACGATAAGCACTGAACTGATAACCATAAGGTTGGTGGTTCAAACCCATCAGCTGCTCCTTATACAGGATTGCTAGGAGTCAGAATCAATTTAATGGTACTTAACAACAACTACAGGTCTCAATAAGTAATATTCAGTTAGCTCTCCACTGTTGTTGGTGGTGGTGGTGGTGGTGGTAGGTGCCATCGAGTCGGTAATGACCCATAGTGACCATATGCACAGCAGAATGAAACACTGCCCGATTCTGGGCCAACCTCACTACTGTTGCCACGCATGAGTCCATCGATGCTGCCACTTGGCCAATCCATCTCGT